GAATTTTACAAATTCAAGGAATTTTAAATTCTTGGTATTTGAATTACTTTGATTTCAATTTCTATCATTCTTAAAATATTTTGTTTGGATAAGTCAATTCAAATTTATCAAATTTTAAATTATTAGGTTGGATATGATAATTTGATTCCACCATGGTAAAATTGATTTTAAAAATATATTTATATGTTGAGAATTTTTAAATTAAATTTTATAAAAATAAATATTAGCAAATTTTTAAATATTTAATAATTTTAAAAAATTAATATTATATAATATTTAATAATCTTAAAAATATTTTTGAATATTTAATAATTAAAAACATGAAGAGATAAGATAAAATATATAAGTGAAATAAGAAGAAAAAAATATGAGAAATTTCAAATTCTTACTTTTTTGGGAGAATTTGAAATTCTACTATTTTAAGGAATTTCACAAATACTTGAATTTCAAATTTCTTATAAATTCTCCATCCAAACAAGGTATTTCATTTCAAAGAATTTGAAATTCTTCAAATAAATGAATTACTCCATTTAAATTCCCCATCCAAACACACTATTAAGTTATAGGTAATCCACTGTTAATGACCTAGTGGTGACAATTTTTGAGAATATACATAAGATTATAAGTTTTAAATTCAGTGTTGTCATTGTAAAATAAAAAATCATATACAACATTATTTCTAATTAAAGAATAAAAATATTTGCACTATAGAAAATGTATAAAAATTAAAATCATATAATATTACTAGCTATAAGCAAATAAAAAAATATATTTTTTTCAATTTGGTCGTTGTCAAACACGATATTTTGTTGTGGTAATGCAACACTTGCTCAGACTTTAAAGCTTAAAACAATTTACTTCTCATATTCAAAATTATCATTCAAACTTGAGAGATCATATCTTTGCGACTATAATAAAAAAATAGTATATACATACCTACTACCTTCAAAAATACTTTAAACGTATAACCTTAAAAAGGATAATACAATTAATAATAATTTGGTAATTTCGTGAGGAACCTGTAAAGTCCAATTTGACAACAAAAATGACTCCTCACAAATTTAACGAGCTAGGTGGGTTGACTGAATGGGGGATATAAGAAACAAAGAAAATGAAGGGAAAATGAACATGAAAGGTGACATTGAAAGCCTATTTTTACACGTTATTTGAATCGTTCCAAGAGAACTGAATTGAATAATATTATTAGGGTTGTCAAACTCGTGGAGGCAGAAGTTGGGTTCAAGCTTAAGGGACCAAAGACTATATCTCTCATATATTTTCCTTATCTGACTGTCATATACTTTTATATAAGAGCATCTACAATGGGGTTGCTTATAAGTAACTCCACTAGCACATCAGCTCTAACCCACTTTATGAGTTGCTTAAATTTTAGTAAAGTTGTTTGTGAAACAACTTTGCTAAAATTTAAGCAACCCATAAAGTGGGTTAGAGCTGATGTGACAGTGATGTAGTACAATGATTGCTTATAAGTAACCTTCATTGCAGATACTCTAAGAATGTTAAATCAACATTGTCCTCTGACAAAAGATCCACATAATACTCTCACATTCGATCTTATCTATATTAAAATAATATTTAATAAATAAAAATTATATCCCATAAATACATACCATAAATACATATTAATTCTTTATTATTAACTTTAAAATACTATGTGATAATTAACATAAAATATATAAGACCGTTAAAGTTACAAATTTTGGCGTGACCATGGTGACTCCGCCGCGTTAGTTGTCTATATATTTTACTAAAAGTATAAAATTGAAGTTAAAAAATATCATAGAAGCTCATCACTGATGCAATTAAGAAAATTATACCAACTATCTTAAAATACATTCTTAATTGAATAAATAAGCATGTTTGGAATAGTTAAACCATCCCATAATTATTTATCCAACGGGGTGATCAGTTTTAAGAAGCCTCCTTCTATTTGTTTGTGAGAGCAAACTAAATTCTGATTTGCACGCGATAGATAGACCCGTTGACTTTAAGAAGGAAGTGTTTCAGTAATGTGTTTCAGACACCGTGCAAACTTGTTCTTTGTTCTGTTCATACTTTGTCGTTATGTGTTGGACGTTGGTATTGCCATAGACAGCATCACATCATCGCAATCCATGAAGGACCCTGATACTCTAAGTTCCAAAGATGGCAACTTCACGTTGGGATTCTTCACCCCTCAAAACTCCACAAAACGCTACGTTGGAATTTGGTGGAAGTCTGAGTCTACAGTCATATGGGTTGCTAACAGAGACCAACCACTGAATGATTCTTCTGGAGTTGTTACAATTTCTGAAGATAGCAATCTTGTGGTGCTGAATGGACAGAAACAAGTTATTTGGTCAACGAATGTGTCCAACATAACATCCAACGCAAGTTCCCAGTTTTCAGACTCTGGTAAGCTCGTTCTCACAGAAACCACAAGGGGAACCATCTTATGGGATAGTTTTCAGCAACCTTCAAATTCATTATTGCCAAGCATGAAACTTTCACTCAATATAAGAATAGGTGAGAAAGTAGAACTTACATCATGGAAAAGCCCTTCTAATCCCTCCGTTGGAAGCTTCTCTCTTAGTCTCGTTCAACGCATAAATATAATTGAAGTGTTCATTTGGAATGAAACTCGACCATTCTGGCGCAGTGGTCCATGGAGTGGTGGGGTATTTAAAGGGATACCAACGATGTCAACATATCTTGATGGTTTCAAAGGTGGTGATGATGGAGAGGGGAATGCAAATATCTATTACACAGTGCCAACAGATACAGAATTTGTAGTCTATATATTGAATTCGCAAGGCCGATTTGAACAAACATGGTGGGATGATGAGAAGAAAGGAATGGAAGTTACGTGGACCAGTCGAAAATCCGATTGTGATGTTTATGGTATGTGTGGACCTTTTGCAAGTTGTAATTCACAGAGGTCACCAATATGTAGCTGTTTGAAAGGGTTTGAACCAAGGAACAAAGAGGAGTGGAATAGACAGAACTGGACTAGTGGATGTGTTAGGAGAACACGTTTGAAGTGTGAAAGGGTCAAAGATCAGAACACAAGTATAGATACAAAGGAAGATGGGTTTCTGAAACTGCAGATGATTAAAGTTCCAGATTTTGAAGAAGGGTCACCTGTTCCGCCAGACATATGCAAAAGCCAATGCTTGGATAATTGCTCTTGTATTGCTTACTCTCACGATGATGAGATTGGTTGTATGTCTTGGACAGAGAATCTACTTGACATACAACAATTCTCAGAAGGAGGACTTGAGCTATATATTCGTGTGGCCAACTCTGAACTTGGTATGCTACATCTGTTCAAACATTTAAAACAGTTTCTTTCGACTGAATTTATTATATTTTAAATTTAAATTTTTTTTCTTCATAACAGATAAAGGGACAAATAGAACAATGATCATTACAATAACAGTGATAATAGGAACTGTCATCCTTGTTACTTGTGCATATGTCATGTGGAGGACTTCCAATCACCCAGGTATGTCACCATCTTCTGTGGTTTTAGAATTAGTCCTATCATTAGTTCTGGTTTTATTGGTAAAGTAGCTAAGCTAACATTATCTTTCTAACTCCAGCTAAAATATGGCGAGCGATCAAATCAGCAAGGAAGAGGAACAACAAAGCTATCCTACTATCTAACAGTGGTGGTGAGACACCAGAACAACCAAGCCACAGCGTAATTGAAGAACTGTCACAAGTTAAACTACAGGAGCTGTTACTATTTGATTTTGAAAGGGTTGCTACAGTCACAAACAACTTCCACCTGTCCAACAAACTTGGGCAGGGTGGTTTTGGTCCAGTGTACAAGGTACCTTCAAACAAAGTTATTGAATTTGAAACCATTAATGCTACATTTGTTTTCTTTTTACTTTCTTTTTTCTCAGGGTAAACTGCAAGATGGACAGGAAATAGCTGTTAAAAGACTTTCTAGAGCATCTGGACAAGGTCTAGAAGAATTCATGAATGAAGTAGTGGTGATTTCCAAGCTTCAACACCGAAATCTTGTAAGACTTTTTGGCTGCTGTGTTGAAGGTGATGAAAAGATGTTAATATATGAATACTTGCCAAACAAAAGTTTGGATGTTTTTGTCTTTGGTAAGTTCTATGATGCCTCCTCTACTATTTTTCTCATATCCAAATCAAAACCTGTTATGGTTTTCTTTATCTACGATAAATCAATATTTAAGAAATAAATAATCATTTAATAGAGTGGGTGTTTTCTCGAAGGCATGTTAATCAGGGGATTTAGATAACTCAACTTCGTAACTTTCTCTTATAATATTATGTTCAAAATACAATAATGTACCCTTACTCTTTAGATCCGTCAAAAAGTAAACTCCTAGATTGGAGTAAGCGTTGTAGCATAATAGAAGGAATAGCTCGAGGATTGCTCTATCTTCACAGAGATTCCAGACTAAGAATCATACACAGAGATTTGAAGGCAAGTAATATCCTGTTAGATGAAGAAATGAATCCAAAAATTTCGGACTTTGGTATGGCTAGAATCTTTGGAGGGAGTGAAGATGAAGCCAATACTAAAAGAGTTGTAGGAACCTAGTAAGTATATTTTCTATGTCCAATTAATATAAGAATAAAATATATGGAGAATAATTTTTTACAATTGAATGCAGTGGCTATATGTCTCCTGAATATGCAATGCAAGGAATGTTTTCAGAAAAATCAGATGTCTTTAGTTTTGGTGTTTTGATACTAGAGATTGTTAGTGGGAGAAGAAACTCAAGCTTTTATGATGATGAGGGTGCTCTTAGTCTGTTAGGATTTGTAAGTCTTTCTACAATTCATTTCTCACTCACTTACATGAACTTTTGCTTTTGCTGATACACAACGACCTTTTTTCTTTTCTTCTTTTTTTCATTTTAGGCCTGGATACAATTGAAGGAAGGCAATATATTATCTATAATAGATCAAGGAATATATGATCCAAGTCATCATAAAGATATTTTGAGGTGCATACACATAGGACTTCTTTGTGTACAAGAACATGCTGCAGAACGGCCCACTATGGCTTTAGTAATTTCTATGCTTAATAGTGAAGTTGCGTTTCTTCCTCCTCCAAGTCAACCTGCATTCATCCGGAAGCAAAATATGTTGAATTCGGTGTCATCTGAAGAGCTTAATAGATTTTCCTCCGTCAATACTATTAGCACTACAACTATCCATGGTAGATAAGATAGCAAATAAAGAACTCAACGAAAGGTAAATCGACTTTATCTTCACTCAACCTTTGTGTACAAATGAATATATACCGGTGTGAAAGAAAACAATTTTAACATAGGTCTCATTTTTTAGACAGCCAATAATTATGAGACACTCGTGAGGAACTTATTCACAAGACAAAAGAAAAATAAATTGAATTTTGATTACTAAAAAATACAAAAATAAATTTTAAGGGTCTTGGAAAGGTTTTTTGTCTTGTAGTGAGTGTCTATAAAACATTTTCCACTTATGTTCATTTGTATGGAGTGAATGTTAACAACACACTCTCTAATCTCTTTCTAACGAAGACAAACTCAAGATGGACAATGAAGTGCAAGATTTCTGAATATCAACACTTTTTACACTACAAGAATGTTGCAATTTAGAGTCGGCCAAGAGCCGACTCTAAATCATAAAAATTGACATAATATTATCAGTTATTCGTCGATTTTTGGCTGACGCTAAATAAGTCGACACATTTTTTTTTGTGTCGGCTAAGCAGTCAATAAAAAATTTATTTATTTTAATTTTGTATTGTCGGTTAAGCCGACACTGTGTCGACACAAAATTTATTTTATATTTTTCTTTGTCTTCTTTTTCCATCTTATCATTTATTCGTTCCTATTTTTAACATTCATTCGTATTTTTAACATTCTCGGGACTCGATCTGTGAACCTTGAGGTCTTAAGTGAACTTGATAACCAAGTGCACCAGAACACATTATGCATATATAACATTGAAAAAATTATCTTTATCTCTCTCAAAGCACGTATACTGTTGAAAAAGCCGACGCTATTTTCAAATGTAGCGTTGGCTTTTTCGACACTAAATTTAAATTAAGTTTAGTGTCAAAAAACCTGAAGCTATTTTTTAAATATAGCGTCGGAAAAGCCGACGCTAAACTTAAAATAAATATTTTAAGTTTAGCGTTGTAAAAACCGACGCTATTCTTTAAAGAGTTAATCACCCATACACTACCAGTGTAAAGTTTTTTTACCCTGACAACCAATCATATCTTTTAATAGAGCCATGTTATTTGCTTATTTAATCAAATAAAATAAATAAAATAATTTAAAAGATATGATTGGTTGCCAATGTAAAAACTTTACACTAACAGTGTATGGATGATTAACTCTTCTTTAAATACAGCGTCGACTTTTCTGACACTAAACTTAATTTAAATTTAGTGTCAAAAAACCTGACGCTACATCTTAAAATAGCGTCGACTTTTTCGACAGTATTTGCATCAGCTATTAGCCGACGCTTATTTTTTCGCAGCTATTTCACCATTTTCTTGTATAGTGTTAATATGGATAGATTCAAGGGAGACAACTAGGGGCCTTACCCCTCCTTGCCCCTCCTCGTCTCTCATACTTTTTGTTGAAAACAAAATATGAAAATAGAAGTGTATGACTAAGCACAAAAGTAACAGATTTAAATAAGAAAATTTGCAATTCGGCACATATAAAAGGGGGCAAAAACTAATATGATATACTTGAGTTATGAAATCAGCTTTGCATACATGAAAAATATTTATATATCAAGTTATTAAATACTAAAACTAACTAACTCCTATTTGGGTAAAACAAACAACAAATTATGGTTAAGTTAACAAGTAAACATCATTTGTTTGCACAACTTACATATTTTGAACATAAGTAATCTATAATCAAATTAACAAACAAAACAAAAAATCATAAAGACTTTAAAATATTTAATTATGATAGTGGAAAATTTTCAACTACGAACACTTCTTATATATAAGGTGAAATTAAAGAGTATTTATAAAGTTTGAAAAAAAGTAGTATAAATTATAATATGTAGAAATTTTAACACTTTTTTAATAAATTAAAACATGTTTCTTTTAATCATTAAAAAAATCACTTTTAATTTTATGTGTAAAAATAGTAAATATTTTAAAAGCATTATGTGTTTATTTATTAATAGATAAATATTTATATATTTATGGAGCAAGAAAAGAAATTGCCCCCACCCTCCCGTTCTATAGGTTTTTGGATCCATCCTTGTTGTTTAATATTTTCATACAAGAAATGTTACATGCAGTAACATATAAAAAATGTTACTATAGGTATAATATATGTATGTATGTATATATGTATATATATATATATGGTATATAGTTATACACAATTTTAATGTTGATTTTGCATGAAATTTAACAACATATTTTGTATATCACTATAGTCACACTTACACTTTTTAACAATATACCAACATATGTTGTATTTATTGTGTGGATACAAGTATTTTTTAGTGACACATATTATCTTAATATAGATTGTTTGTCACTATGTAACAATTTTTTTGTAGTAAACTATTTCGATCTATTAAGTTAAAAAATGGTTGAAAACTATAAAATCACAAGAGACACTTATTAATTAATTATGAATTTTGTTAATTAAGCACTACTAGAATTTTCTTGCAAATTTTTCTCAAAAATTCGTAGGAAACAAGTTACTTGCAAAATTTTCTGCAAATTAAAATTTGCAAGTAAAACCTTCATGGATAACTCATTTTCCACGGATTTATAAATTCGTAAGAAATTTCTTGTGAATAATTTTTGCATGAAAATAATAAATTTTTGCAGGAAATTTTGGCAAGAAAAATTATATTTTAAATATTTCCTGCGGATTTTGCTGCAAAAAAATCCGCAGGTAACCTTTCCTTTGAAAAAAATTGCAAGAAAATGTGTTGGTACTTTTCTACATACCTAAAATTTGTAGCAAAATTTCCTGCAAATTTTAAAATTGTAAGAAAATTCGTAGAAAAGTTACCTGCCAGCTTTCAAAATCGCAAGAAATTGTTACGAAACTGAAAATTTGCAGGAAACTTTCCTGCAAATTTTCATGCAAATTTATTCTGCAAGAAATTTTTGCAATATAAATAAAATATTTTCCACAGGAATTGCGAGTTGTGACCGCTTGATCCTCCGTCTGAAATTTCGAGCTGCTTCCTATATATATGCTAATTATATACACTATATATATGAGGTGGCCTAAAACACAACCATTATAGAAGTTACCTATATATATATTATATCTAAACGAAAATGATCAAGCACTAGTACAAAATGGTTCTTTTACGTCGGCTATTTTAAGGATTTTACTTCGAAAAACGCTCTGACGTTAATGCGGGAGACGTAAATTTACTTCAGAGGTAAGAGACGACGTAAATTTACGTCGGACATTCCTTATGCCCGACGTAAAAAAGGGCCTAAAATGACGCGAGATTTTACGTCGGACTACACCATGTCCGACTTAAATTTACGTCAGCCAGTGCTAGGTCTGACGTAAATTTACGTCGGACATGGTGTAGTCTGACTTAAAATCTGACATTTTTTATTATTTTTTTTATATACCCAAACGAAAAGTTATTCATTTATCTGATATTTGACAAACTTTTGTACTTTCTATTTATTGTTTATGTTGATAAAAAAATTAAAATGGTAAAAAGGCTTAAATATGTTTTTAGTCCCTCAAATTTAAGATAAATTTGTTTTTGGTCCCTCAAATTTAAAATTGTTGTTTTTAGTCCCTGTAATTTTCAAAAATCTTGTTTTAGTCCCTTAGGTCACCAATAACATATTTGAAAGTGACTAATTAAGACAGTTATGCAATATCATTCAAATTTAATGTGATATTTTCACTAATAAGGACACCAATAGGTAGATTTTATGCAATAATGGAGAGAAAGAAAGAAAGAAAGAGAGAAAGAAAGAAAGAGAGGGAAAGAAAAAGGGAATCCAGAAGAGGAGGCTCTGCTCAAGTTTCAACTCCGCTTATCCAGGTTAAGGGGGGGAGTGAGAACCTCGCTCAGGGGTGTGGGGATAATTGTTGGATAGTTGTTTGTCGGATTGGCCCCCAATCCCTTGCCATTGTTCTATTTGATTTTCTATTTACTCTACTTTGTTGAAGGTGCCGTTGTTCTGTTTGATCTACTTTGTTCTTTATTGAAGGTGCCGTTGTTCTGTCTAATTTTCTATTTATTCTACTTTGTTCTTTGTTGAAAGTAATAAATGAATATGACATTAATGTTAATAATAAATGAGTTTTAATATGACCAAGAATGCTCTCTAGATCTCTGTGAATTCCTGTGCGATCCTTATGAAGAGTATTGATGACATGACCTTGTGAAATATGGACAAAAGGACATGAGACCTAAGAATGAACTATTGAGACAAGCTATGACTATGAGAACATGAAAAATGATGACATGAAGTACTAAATGAAATAAGTTAAATGTTGAGTCAATGAAATAATGACTGTATGACATGCATCATATGCATATATTATTCCAGGTGTGCCGCTGAGGCCGCATACCAGCGATATAACTTGCTAACAAGATGAGGAGTGGATGCAATTTCGTGCCACTCGATTGGACCCTGCTTGGCAGGTTATTTATTGATAACTCTTACATTGACACAAATACTTAAGGTATATTTTAATTAATTTCATTTTCTTTTTTATATTATTGCAGGCCAAAAGAATAGCTTCCCAAGAACGACAGAGCAAGAATGATGCACCCCATCTATTGTCAAGAGGGGGATATGAATTAAAAAAAAATGATGAAGGCTAGGGCAGAGGCAGCAGGGGTTGATCACCAGTGATGATATGTGAAACTTCCTTATGGCGCCACATGCATGTATTTATAAGTCAAGTTCATGACATCATTGCTTGATAAATGAATATATATGTGATATTGATGATGTATGTGTATTGTTTATAAGTGACTTATATTTGTTGTGTGTGTGTGTGGGTGCTATCTAGTCTTTATTTCTGCACTTGAAACTGAGTGAGATGTTTCTCACTCCCTTGTTGTTTTTGTATATGTTTAAATTATGTTGCAGGCGATCATCATCACGAGGATGTTGGTGATGAGGCACATCTTGAACTTGGTCAACCACAACCCATGTCCAGTCTGGGTGTAGAGGGACACCATGGGACACCATGGATGGTTGAGCCACCCTGAAATACTCGGCCAATAGCCACTAACCGTGAGGGGTCATCCTCAACATATAACTCACACTGGTTTGGTAGATCAGTGTGAGTCTGTTCCCCTGAGGGATCTTGAGCAGCACAACTCCCTTTAGTGCTGACTCGAACACCATCATGAGCAACTACAGACTATTGCTGAGAACGAGCCAAAAGTTCAAACTTCTATTCAAACTCTTCTCGAATGTTCTTCAATTTCTCTTCAAACTACATCTCCATTCTCTGCATAGCCTCTTGACTACAAGAGTCAACAGTGCTCCTCGATGATCGTGCACCAAAGAAATCTCGGTGGCTCCAAGAACCACCAACACCACGCACACGACCTGCATGCTCTGGCCTTCCTGACCATGGGAAACAAATGAGCCTTGGGTGGTCTGCTCAACTAAACCCTCCTGCAACATATTAACAATAAGTATACCCTAAACTACACTTATGAATTAAATGAGTTGAAATGAAGAGTCTTAGTTTGTATATTTTTTCTTACTATTTTATCAGCAACGACCCTTGCAGACTCAAAAGTCATTTG